CTCATGCACACACACACACACACACACACACACACACACACACACACACACACACATGCACACACACACACACGCACACACTTCTTGGATTGTGGAAGGAATTGTTGTTCCTGTTTCATTGTGTGTGTGTGTTTTGTAGGTGGTCTGATATTGTATGTGTATATGAACAAAAAAAGTCCTTCACAAGGTGTTTCCGTTTAGACGTGTGTGTGCGGCAGCCTGTTTTCTGTCATTTTTACATGCAGACAGGAAGATGCGTCTTTACTCAGCATTTTTCTGTCTGTATCTCACACACAGCTGTCTGCTAGCACACATTCATCGTTTCTAACAGAAGACACATCAGGCTCCAGTTATTCACAGTGTGTGTCTGTGTGTGTGATGAATGACTCCATGACTGTAAAACTAGTTGACAGACACATAATGACAGAGCCCTCAGTCGCAGATCTGTGTGATTAAGTCGTTTGATCTCGACGTGTGTGTGTGTGTCAGGGTTTCAGCACTGGGTGTTTCATGTCCATTAGCTCAGTGTTTCTTTCCCTCATGAAATCAGACATCTGTGAGCTGCATCATGTCTGTATGACGACACGCATCTCTTATTCCCATTACATCTGTGATTTTAGAGCATGCAAACGACTTCTTATTCCAGAAACAATGGTGTTAATTAGGGAAAAAAATAGATCAAATACTAAGCACTGCAGAATTTGATTGCCTGTCTTTCACAATGTTTTGCAAATCCCCATTTATATTCCCAGCTGTCTGCTTCAGCACTTTATTTGATAAAAAATTTAAAAAATGCAATGTTTTGTTGTGAAGGAATTGTTGTATTTTCATGTGATTGCATTTTAAAAGCCAGATTACATTAAAGTTTTACGAATTCATTTGATTACCACAGTTTTTGATGATAAATTTATAGTAATTTGTAAAACGCAGAATCCAGAAAAATTAAAACAGAATTTGTGAAAAATAATATAGACTTCATCTATTATTGATAGATGATAGCCCTATTATTGTAAAAAAAAAAATATATATATATATATATATTTTATTCAATTATTCATGAACCCATTTGATTAATTTTTTTAAGATAAATTTGTTTTACATCATAAAACACAATTTAAAAAAATAATAATTAAATAAAACAAAATATGTACTGTAATACTGTAAAAAAATCATTAAATTGGTAATGTTTTATGAATTCATTTAATTACCAAAGGTTTTGGTGATATATCTGTAGAAAATCATAAAGCACAGAATCTAACAAATAAAACACAATTTGTGGAAAAAAATAAAAATGACTTTTTTAAGGTCCCTAATATTGTTAAAATTATTAAATTATTAAATTGGTAAAGTTTTATGAAATTTTTTTAATTGAAAAATTGTAAAACAGAATGTAGAAAATAGATTTTGTGAAAAATATAAGGGAATTTGCAAAAATGTAGTAAATTTATTAAATGATTAAAGTTTTATAAATTCATATAAATTAAAACAAAATCACATTTTTGGTCATATACAGTACAGTATATTAAAAACACACACACACACACACACACACACACACACACACAAAACACAGAATCCAGAAAAATTCAAACAGAATTGTGAAGGGAAAAAAA